ATTAAAAGCACCAGTATTAAAGTTGTACGAATACAATAAAATATATTTTTTATATTGCCGTTATTTAAATTAACATTTTTCAGTTTTGGAGATACAAAATTGTGCTTTTATTTAACAAGCGAAATGAAATTACATTTCTAAAATAACAAATTTCTCTATACTATTGACCATTTTAGTAGTTAAAAGAGTTAAAATCAATAATTAAATCAGTGACAAGAGGCCAATAGAAAGCGGTGTTCCTCAAGGAAATATATTGGGTCCCACTTTATTTACATTATATGTAAACAATTTATATAATTTACAGACCACATAAGAAATAGTAAGTTTTGCAGTTGAGACTGCAATTTTTTATGAAGCAGAAACGTGGGATGATCTAAAACGGAAAACTGAAAGAGATTTAAAGAAAATAATAGACTGGTGTTCCCATAAAAAATTAACCATAAATTAAAGCAAATCTTTCTGTTCACCATTTGTCAGCTACTTTAATAATCTATCTTTATTTAGAGACATTAGCTTAACTTATAATAAATTATGCTTTAGTCCAAAGTCGTGTACAATACGCAATCATCTGTAGGGTTCAAAGATATTACAACTAAGAGACCAAATTGTTTACATTTTTATGTGGCAAATCATTATTCCCACCAGATTCTCGTTTATTGCGTCTTTGCCGATTTTATCAGTCTGTCAAAATTATTTGGAGAAATTACTTTCGAAAAATAAAATTTGATGTGTCCTGTAACTATAATTTTATATTATATAAATAAAAATATGTTTTTAATCAAATTATTCTTTGATAAGCTAAATTTTTTATTAAAAAATCAATATTAATCTAAACAAAATATTAGGGTTTCGAAGAACTCCGTAAATAAGGCAACGCTGAATATCTTATTTTACGAATTTACTATTTTTATAAATGAAATGTAGTACCGTAACCAGCCGCAACGTTGCCAATCAGGTCTAACCACATACTTTGATTTTCTTTTACTATACGGAGAATGGTCGCACTGCGCAGCTTTCTGAGTGCCTTTTAAAAGAAGATAGAAAACTCCGCCATTTTGAACCCTTATTACGTGTTGCCTACATCTTGGCGCAATATTTTTAATGGGTGCGTTTTAATCTAACAGGTTAAAACGACTAAACCGACAATTCCGGAAGCAGAAGCGGATGATTAAAACGCATCTGATATTTTGCTTGCTGCTGTCAGTGTCAGTGAATATTATTTTTGAAGTCACAGTTTATTGCTAAAGAATCAGTTAGCTCACTCGGACCAGTTGAAAGTTCCAAAATAACATCCACTCCAGGGATACAAATTCAGGATACGCAGAAGACTACTGTTTTATTATAGGCGGTTGTCATATATTGTATTATCCGAGTTGCACAGTGTATAAACTGAAACATTGAGATCCAAAGTGTCGACGCAGAGTGAGCGATCTGATTCTTTAGCTGTAAACTGTGTCACAGAGTTCAAAATGGCCGCGCTCTATGTTGGGCGTGTCGGACCTCTCTCTTGCCTCGTATAGTAATCAAAGTATGTGGGTCTAACAGCTATTTTGTATTTCTGACAGTATCTGACATTTTCTGTGTGACTTATTGATTTATTCATTTATAAAATACTATTTTTGTGAATATTTGTGAGAAATATAAAGAATTATGGTACATGCATGTGTAGTGTTCAAAAAGGTAGATCATTTTTAAGTCGAAATGTATGGTTTCATCGGTAAGTATTTTTAGGTTAAGATATGATGTTTTCATTTGAACAATTTCTTATAGAATTTAAAATATATAGGATCACATAGTAAATTGTTTAAAAAATTATTATCCAATCTAATTTTTCAGAAAATTTACTGCAGGTTTGATAATATACAATTTAAATTGTACAAAAAATTGTATCAAAAACTCGTGTAGTCTAAAACAGTCTTAAAACAGTTTTTAAAGTGATATTCCTTTTATAAATTAGTAAATTATACCAGTAAATAATTATTGAATAGGGGCAAAAAAAATTTAACGTAAAATGTAGAATACCTTAAAAATGATTTACCTATTGAGCACCTATACATATTTTTTATTACTCTATTTAGGTTTCCGCAAGATCCTGAAAAAAGAAAACTTTGGTTTTCTCTAATAGGAATCCTTGAAAATCAGCCCTTTTGTAAAAACCCAGAGTTGTGTTTAGAACACTGTTTTCCTGAAAATGTTTTGGTACGTGCAAATGGTACTAGATATATTAGAAAAGATGCAAACTCCAGACGGTGTGAGGGCTTTCTGTTTTTGGATGACTTATCCAACAGGTAAAAATACAAAATATAAATTTTTGTTTACCTCTAAACATTATTTATTACCTATATGTATGTATATCTAATGTATGGGTTTTAGTTCTGATTCAACTGTTTTTGGAACACCACCTGCTGCAAAAAGAAACGTTGCAGTAAGTTATAACATTAATAACTAAGCATAAAAAAATTAAATGAAATTTTAGTTAATAAAGTATTTTATATATTTAAAACATTATTTTAAAAATTTTTACATTTTTTTTTACGATATTTTTTGTCATACCATGTTTTTTTGTAATTATTAATTAAACAATTATATATTTTTGGGACAGTGTTTTATTTAGATACCCCTACCTACTTAATGTTAATTTAAAATTTTAAATAATTTTGGTTAACATCATACCAGGCAAATATATAGTAAATGCCAATAAACTATAAACCAATAAATATTAAAAATCGAAAGTTAACTTGAATTCGCTTGTATTTGAATTTACTTGTACTTTAATTTACCTATATGAAAAATCAGCAAGTATCATGCAAAATTATTGTCATATACTCTGAAGGTAATTCTCTCACCAGAAATCAAATCAGGACTGGTGAAAGACTATCTAGAAGACCTGACAGAGCTAAGTAGTTAAAATAAAGTGACCTTAGCCTGGGTTCCAGGCCAAGAGGGATATCAGGGCAACGAAAAGGCCGACGAATTAGCCCGAGGAGGCTCAGATAAGGCCATGACAGGCCCCGGACCCTTCTGTGGAGTTGCTAAGGCATTGTGCAAGACATCCATTAAACATTGGATGCAAACAGAGTCTCAGGAATGGCGGAACAACTATTCAAGACTGATACAGGCCAAACAGTTTATCAAGGAACCATCGGCCAAGTCCAAGAAAGACCTACTGGATCAAAAGCGTCAAATCGTTAGGATAACAGTAGGCCTTCTTACTGGACCCTCAAAAGGTACATGAGTCTTATAAATCGAGCAGAAGCAGCAACTTTGTGCAGGTTCTGTGAAGAAGAAGAGGAAACAATATTCCACGTCCTATGCCAATGTGAATGCCTGGCTGGAACGAGGTTTCTAACATTGGGCGAAGAAAAGCCAATTGCATGCAACTACATGCAGGAGCCACTGTCAAAGCTACTAAGACTAATAAAAAAGACCAGGATAGACGACATACTCTAAAACAAACAGGAGTCCCACAATAGATCTGAAAAGGTCGCGGTGGACAAGGACAAATAACGTCCAACTCATAATCTAATCTAATCTACCTACATGAAAAAATCATCATAATTATATTACTAAAAAATATACCTACATATTTACGTATTTTTTTAACATACTACTCTGACAATACTGGTAAGTTTAAAACTCTACGCCACTGGCGAGCATATTATGGACACTGTTTACAACGTTGCCAGCCGGTCATAAGAGATCTGTCTTTCTCTCTTCCACTCACTAACAATTTTAAAACAATAACAGTCCGCAATTGTATGGGATTTATGAATGAAACATTTTGTCTATAAATATGTTGTAATGTCTATGGTAGGGGTGCTGCAACCAATAATCACATAACCAAAGTTGAAGTATTACAAAAGAGAATTCTAAAAATAATACACAACAAAAAAGTTAGATACCCAACAGATGCATTGTTCGAGGAAGTAAAAATAATGGATATACGTCAATTATACATATACTCAGTTATAACTCTAATCTACAAAAATAAACAATTATTAAACAAAATTACCCATAACTATGATACAAGAAGCAAGGATAAAAGAAAAGTTGGTACCTACCTTGTGTATAAATCAATAGCACAACGTTTTTATATTTATTTAAGTGCAAAAATCTTTAATTATCTTCTGGATATGTGAAAGATATATTTACAAATTATAAATTCCGTTGAACTCTTTAATCTATCATCAAAAAATTTCTTATTAATTCGGATAGCAAATACCAAAGAGAAATAATTAATTGAATATGCAAGTATTCAAACTTATATGTTACATAACAGTTGTAATTGTATACTTTTTACTTGATATTTTTATTTTGTATATCTTTGTTATTTATATTTCATATGTATTTTAAATTATGTGTTTTTTAGCTAATTTTATATGGTTATTCTTCAGTAATTATAATTTAATATGTATTCTTTAATTAATTTAATTAGATTTTATGAACTTACACAAGTCAAACTTTAATAATGTAACCTACATATTTAAAAAAAAATTGTTTAGAAAAAAAATGGTTTCAAAAAGAAAGTTAGTAATTCGGCAGCCCATGCGCAACCACGTGGTCATAAATGGGCAGCAAATACTTTTAATAAATAAGGTACCTATGTCAATTACTCTATTAATTTAAAATTATTTAAAATGTACCTACAACTATGATATAACCAAAAAACAAAAATGCTGAATATTAACTTAGACCAGGAAACATAAAAACAACAAATTTTTATCATTTTAGAGGAAGTAGAATTTGCGCATAAGTAATAAAAATCACCAATAACGGCAAAAGTCTATTGGGCCCTTCCTAAAACTTGTATTGTCCTGGAATATATTGAACTACATTGCACGGCTGGAGTTAGAATACTTCGAGAAATAAACACGAATCAGTATTAAATTAAACCTACTTAACATAAACTCACGATACTGCCGTTGGAGATGAAAACTAGATTAACAGACATAGATATTAATAATATTTATTATTACTATTATAATAATATTAATTTGAAACCCTATATTTAAAGATATAGTAATTTTATAAATGATAACGCCGCTCCATTCGTCCATCCAAATCCAGTCTGAACCGTATATTCACCGCCGCCACCATATTGTCCAGACACAAACGCGTCATATTTTTCAAACATTTCTGAAGCGTTTCGAAATCCTATTATAAAAGCATTTAATGAATACCTAGCATATTGTTTGGCTTTTTCAATTCCAGCTGGGATTTTTGTATTTAGTAAACCAGTGACGATGATATCTTGTAGAGGTGGCCAAGCATTCGGTAAATCCCATTGCTGACCAGATTGTAATAACGATGTTGGAATACCGCCTTTAAAAGAATCTATATTATTTTTATTTAAATATTCAATAGCCCGGTATCCGTAATATTTTTTCATGAAAGGTTGGTAAGATTCTGTAAACAACGGAGATAAGTTGCTAGGGAAAAATCCTCTTCTCGGTTGCCCTACAGAAATGTCCCAATCATACCAAGTACCATCTTTAAAATCATAAAATACTTGTTTAATTCCTTCCATCCATATATTTTCCATTTTTCTCCATTTTATTGATCGACCAACTTTGCCAAGCATGCTGTAAAATCTTGAAATTTGGCCAAAGCCTCCACAAAGGAAAGCATTTAAATCTACTGGTACGATTCGAGTCAGATCTATGTCTGCAAGATTTGAAGTGATACTTCCATCTGATCCAACCAGCCATCTTGAAGAGAAATCCCAACCAGATTCTGCTCCGCTTTTGAGGTTTTTGTAACATTTTATCTGAAAAATACAACGAAAATCGTTTAGAAATAGTGTATCGTGATGCGAGTGCAAAAAGAAATTCATTTATTTCAATAGAAACAAGATTCTTTGCACCAGTAGCAAACTATATTTGTTCTGCGACCATAATGAATACAGCAAATTACACGATTGTTTATTATAATTTGCTCACAATGTAGTTCTCAACTTCCAGTAGATTCACTACAGGTTTAAAACACTTTCTCAAAATCTTTAAATATATAAAAATTTCGTGTCACGATGTATGTTCGCGATAAACTCCGAAACTACTGAACCGATTTTGATAAAATTTGGTAACTGTAATTTGGTACAATTTAAAAGATAGGATAGTTTTTATTTCAATTATTGACCTCAATATTTATTATTGCAAATTAAATGTTTATTATACGACAATTCCAACGACCTATCAAACAATAACTGACAGCGGAAAGGGTTAGTAAATTTAAAGGGGTTGCGACATAGCCTTCTAATTTATAGAAAATGTATAAGCGTTTTTTTTTTAAATAATATTTTCATTGTGTTTAACATAAAATATTTAAATTTCATCCATTATTTATGATTTTATAAAATGCAGATAGACTACATCGTATGTCGCAACCCTTTAAACATACCAAACCTTAGTACCGCGTTTCATTTGTATGGAAGGCCTAAATATTGTGTATTTATTCTATGAATTCCTAATAGATGACGGTATAGGTGAAGACTTTCCCCTTTTTACTTTCCTATCTGTATACAGATATAAGGAAAGTATAGGAATCATGATTTTTTCGACCTCGAGTTTTTGACGGATTTTTAAATATAGGAACTTGAAAATTGGAATTGCAGCTACTCATAAATGTAAACGTATTTCAAGGTTTTTGGATTTTCGCATTTAAAGAAGGGGGCATGGAAAGTATCATAAAAACACTACTACTACATAAATGCGAAAGTTTGGAGAAAGGGAGAAATAGAGAAAATAGGGAAAGGGGGAAAGTGGGAAAGTGAAAAAATAGGGAGAAGGGGGAACAGGGATGAAAGTGTCGATTTTTTAAAGGTGGAAACATGAAAGTTGGAATTGTAGCTACTCATATAATGACGTATTTAGAGGTTTTTGGATTTTCACATTTTAAGGAGGAGGGGAATAAATAAATATAAATAAACAAATAAAAAATAAAAATAAATAAAAAATTAAATAATTATAAATAAATAAAAATAAATGAAATTATTAAAAAAAAATAAAAATTAATAAAAAATTATAAAAATTAATAAAAATTAATAAAAAAAATAAAAATTGATAAAAATTAATAAAAATTAATAAAAATTAATAAAAATTAATAAAAATTAATAAAAATTAATAAAAATTAATAAAAATTAATAAAAATTAATAAAAATTAATAAAAATTAATAAAAATTAATAAAAATTAATAAAAATTAATAAAAATTAATAAAAATTAATAAAAATTAATAAAAATTAATAAAAATTAATAAAAATTAATAAAAATTAATAAAAATTAATAAAAATTAATAAAAATTAATAAAAATTAATAAAAATTAATAAAAATTAATAAAAATTAATAAAAATTAATAAAAATTAATAAAAATTAATAAAAATTAATAAAAATTAATAAAAATTAATAAAAATTAATAAAAATTAATAAAAGTTAATAAAAATTAATAAAAATTAATAAAAATTAATAAAAATTAATAAAAATTAATAAAAATTAATAAAAATTAATAAAAATTAATAAAAATTAATAAAAATTAATAAAAATTAATAAAAATTAATAAAAATTAATAAAAATTAATAAAAATTAATAAAAATTAATAAAAATTAATAAAAATTAATAAAAATTAATAAAAATTAATAAAAATTAATAAAAATTAATAAAAATTAATAAAAATTAATAAAAATTAATAAAAATTAATAAAAATTAATAAAAATTAATAAAAATTAATAAAAATTAATAAAAATTAATAAAAATTAATAAAAATTAATAAAAATTAATAAAAATTAATAAAAATTAATAAAAATTAATAAAAATTAATAAAAATTAATAAAAATTAATAAAAATTAATAAAAATTAATAAAAATTAATAAAAATTAATAAAAATTAATAAAAATTAATAAAAATTAATAAAAATTAATAAAAATTAATAAAAATTAATAAAAATTAATAAAAATTAATAAAAATTAATAAAAATTAATAAAAATTAATAAAAATTAATAAAAATTAATAAAAATTAATAAAAATTAATAAAAATTAATAAAAATTAATAAAAATTAATAAAAATTAATAAAAATTAATAAAAATTATTAAAAATTAAATTAATAATTTTTTTTTTCAAGTATCGCATGAAAAAATTTCTCACGAGTAACAAAAACTGTTATTCACTTTTAATAATTGAGATTGGAGAAATTCCAGCGAAGCGGGATCGGGTCAGCTAGTATACAATAAAAATAGTTTCTAAAAGGGATTAAGCATCATTCTGCGAGTTAAATTACTTTTTGAAAATTAAGGACTTTACTTTTTGATGTTAACTCTATTACAATCAAAGGTCGAATGAATTTCAATAATGTGTTTTACATGAGGATGATAAGTGCAAGGTTTTTTATTTTAATAAGATCAACATTTCTTCTTATATAGATAGAACCAATTTATAAAGTATAAATAAGCTAAGTTGTATTTGGTTTTAATATGAGAGAACAATTCTTCATTAAACGTGGAGTCTAAACACTGTCAAAAGTTAAAAGCGGTCAGCAAAATAAAATTTTAAACTCATATATACCTATGGTTTTATTATTAACAGAAAGTAAAGCGATATTTAAGAAATATTTACCTTTTCCTCATTTTTAAATGCACTACAAGTTTCGATATCTTCCCTATATGATTCTGGTCTTGGAGTCCCACTTTTCACCGAATATTGGGCTAGTCTGTATACTAATCCTTGTTTGATAACCGTTATTGTTCGGTTTTCCAACCACCACAGCAGTTCCTTTTCAAGTGCATCAATATTCTTTTTCACCCAATTTATATCTCTGGTATATTCGAAGTAAAGGCCCACCATTGCTGATAGAAGAGGAGGTTGAGATCGGTTTAAATAGTAAACTCGTGAACCATTGGGAATAAAACCATACCTGTGGAAATTGTCAAAATTTAAATGATAAAAAATTAAGAAGTGGTACTCTAAATCGATCCCATATACAAATTCTCTAATTTAGTATGAAATTTAACGTCAACCAGTTTTGGCACTAATTCCATCATCAGGCCTAGAAGGTAAAATAATTGTTGGTAAACATTTACAAACCTGTAAAAGTTGATAAAATTTTTATACAACGACTGAAGCGATCATCAGAAAATACAGATCCTAAAATTAACTTATCATTTCCTAAACCATCGCTAGGAGGAACTGCTTCGATTTAAGTTAAAAAATTATTAAATATAAAGATATTAGTAAAAAAAAAAAATGCTCATGACCAATGCATAAAATTTAAACAATATTTCAAAGAAATTAAACAGTTAAGCTGGAAAGCAATCCTAAGTGATTGCCAATAAAATAGGAGTTCTTGATGGGGACTGCGAAAGAAGCCCACTCTAATGTGGTAAGTGATAACTTGCAGGATAATTCTACTGTTAATATGTCATCAGGCAAAATAAAATCACTTACTAATGGCCCACTCTTAATTTAACTCTAGAGTACTAATACTTGTAAAATTTAAGACGCTGATTTATTTCTTCCAAAATTTAGCAACATCGGAAAGCCTTGCAGATTTGAGTCTCCCAGCAGCTTCCTCTTTAGTATTTTGCTAATCGTTGGTGGGTCCACGTCGATCGAATTTTCAGCGGAAGTGAGGAAATTACGCATCGCGTCGTAAATATTACGACGCTTCAGTGTTAGTGATAGTATTGGCGATAATTGGTAATAATTGGCGATAAGAGTGAGTGTTTTCTTTTGTTTTATGCAGAATTTTCGATTTATTTTGTAAGTAGACTAATATCTCTAATTTTGTAGAAACAATATGCAAATTTTAGAGTAAAGCAAAGTTTTTGATATTTTTAATTTTAGAAACTGAAGAATGGCAAATAAACCACTTACTGCGTTGTAGTTGCAGCAAGAAATGAAAAAGATTATGAATGGAGAAAATTATTATAATGAACCGTACGAGGACAGTGGAAGTGACTGGGAGGAAGACCATTTAGAAGAAGAATCGGTACATTCTGACAGCAGTTCTATATAATATGATACAAATGAGGAAAAATGTCATAATCTAGTAGAGGAACATCCAGAAGAAGCTCTTTTGTCATATGATCAAGAATCATCAGATGCTGATGAACCTTTAGCCAACCTATGTCGAAGCCATCTAAATATAGTTTTTCCTAAACAAATAAACATGAAAGGTAAAAATGGTCATAAGTGGTCTTCTAAACAACCAGTAATGTCAATGAGGGTCAACTCAAGGAAAATTGTTCATTTTATATCCGGTTGCTAAGGAGAATCTTGTAAGTGTTCTTTTATAAAGGACCACGTTCTGCACTTCTTTTATGATAACATATTCTTGACATAGTTATTCATTAAACTAATGAAGAGATTTGTTTGACAGTCTTCTAAATACGCTGCAAATTCCGCTAAGATATCAAAACTTTGCAAAGAAGAGCTATTAGCCTTTCTTAAAATACTGATTGTTTCTACAGCCACAAAGGACAGTCATCTAAATACTAGACACATGTTAGAAGGGACCATATTGGGAACTTTCCATCGCGCCTGTATGAGGGAAGTTCCTATATTCCATCATCTTATTTTAGGATTTAGAAGAAGGTGCTCATTCCGTATGTATACAGGGTGGACCGGATTTAATTTGCGTATATAGAGATCTCGTAAACAGTAAGATATACATTGTCGGTTAAACAAAAAAAAAGTTTCGTATTTTGACGAATAATACAATGGTTTATAGAAGTTCCAAATTTTTTAAATGGTTCTGGAGATATTCGATAAAATCCGAAAAATCTCATTTTCGTTTTTTAAGTCGTGCGTTGTTAATATAAAAGATACAAAACAAATTATACGAGGTTTTTATTATAAATCAAGTTCCCTATAATATACCATGTCAAAATTTTTATTACGACGTTTCGTATTTCCAGGGCCACCTTTAACTTATTTTTTTAAATACGGACCTGGATTTTTAACTGTAATTTTTTATAGCCTTTGTATAGCTAAATAGAACGATATGTTACACTTTACCATTTTACTACGTTTCGTCTATGGAAATATCATCAGCTATGTAGCTTCTGATGGTACCGTTTCTTACTTGATTAAAACAAGATAGCTAATTAAATAATAATTAAAAAACAAAAAATGCTTAAAATGTGAAATTTTAAATATTATTTGAAACATAATACAAGAATTATTTAATTACAAAATGGGTTACAATTTTTTATCAAACATGATTAAGTACAACCAGCAAACAAGACTAATGAAGAACGAATTATGGTTGTACACATTCTACAAATAAAGCTAATAACAAAAAACATAAAATGAAAAAGAAAACGGTCAAACAATCTATAAATTTCTATTACTTGATTTTCTGTAAAATCTTTCGCTTAGGTTTCTCACACCGTATTTTTTCTATCTTTAATGTTTTCATTTTTGCATACATAAGATCTTAATAAAATCATGTTTGCCATTTATGTTAGTTGTAATTTGTCACCAATATTTCTGTTATAATCTGTTACATCTAATATTACAGTACTTTTTTAGTTTTAATCATCTAAATACTAGACACATATTTGAAGGGACTATATAGGGAACTTTCCATCGCGCCTGTATGAGGGAAGTTTCTATATTCCATCATCTTATTTTAGGATTTAGAAGAAGGTGCCCATTCCGTATGTATATTTCTAACAAACCGTCAAAGTACGGTATAAAAATTGTTATGGTATGCGATTCATTCTCCAAATATATGATTGATGCTAGTCCATATCTGGGAAAGAGCACTAATACTGGAGGACTACCTCTTACAAATTTTTATGTGAAAGAATAAACAAAATCGATTCATGGTAATAACCGTAACATTACCATGGATAAATGGTTTTCGTCAGTTTTTTTGGCGGATGGAAGAACCGTACAAACTAACAATTATAGGGACTCTGAGAGAAAATAAAAAAGGAATAACACCAGAACTGTTGAAAAATAGGCCACGAGGCTCATCTCTGTTTTGTTTTGATAGGAAAGAGATACTAGTTTCCTATATACCAAAACCTAATGAAATAGTGTTGTTACTTTCCACTATGCATGAAAGTGTAAGCATTTCTGAAAAGGGAAAACCTATAATTATAAATTATAATGAAACTAAGTCAGTAGTAGATACTTTTGATCAACTCTGCAGTAATATGACCTGCTCCAGAAAAACACGAATATAGCCTGTTTGTTTTTTTATGGGATGAATAACATGGCTACCATCAATTCATTTGTCCTATATTGCCATAACTCTCACAAAGCAAATACAAAGCCTGCTTCCAGTTCATGTTTGATTTAGGCAGAAAGAAGCCTTGTTGAACCATGGATGCGCCAAAGATTGAACATCCCTAATTTACGTCGCAATATTCGACAGGATATAGGCGAAATCCTAAACATACAACCGGTTCCTGAGCCAGTCGAATCAATGGAGAAGAAACGGACAGTATGCCTACTCTGCCCTAGCTGTCTAAGAAGAATGACAACACCCTTTTGTGTACAGTATAAGCGAGCAATCTGCGTACAACATAACAGACACTTTATGCAAACCATATCCCACGCTGATGCTTTCCTATAGAAACAATTAAGACAGCCCAACGGGAACTTTTTAGATAAGTAATTAGTTTATAAGATTTTTACATTAAAATTGTAGGTTAGTCAGTAATGACTAGTAACAATACTCAAAAAAAAATACCCAACCCGTGTGGACTGGAGCCTAAAAACAAATAACTTTCAAAAAAAAATTATATTTAAAATGAGTAAACGATAAAAAACTAATTTACTTACCCTATGCAGACTAAAGTCATCGTGGGTTTGTACGCAAAAAATTACACATAAAATAAGAACAACAAAATAAAAACCAATTTACCTAACCAGTGCGGCCTAAAGTTATCGCGTGTTGACTCGCAAAAAAATATGTATAAAATGGGAGAAATAAAAAACCTAACTAATGTATCTAACCTGTACGGTGCCACTATGGATGCTTAGCAGTTTTTTATTTCTTAATATAATCAATAAATAAATAAATTAATAAACCTAACCAATTAACTTAACCTGTGTGGCCTTATCGAAATAATGATAAAAAAATAACTAACCTAACCTTCATAAAAAATTTAAAAAAAGTGCGTGTTATAAGTTTACCATGTATCAAAATTTATCGACGTTATAATAAGCAATTTTACGTTAGGTACGTACCTTCTAATTAAAGACACAAAATTATTCAACATTCCTCTTGCAGTATTCTCCATTCCGCTAATGAGCAAACCTTTGATAATCCAATAAGTATCCCAGTAGTATACTTCTTTAAATCTTCCTCCAGGTATAACAACACCTTCAGGAAGATAAATGAAAGAATGCCTATCCGGGAATTTAGAAACGCTAGAATTGACTTTTCTTGCCAAAGTGAGCCAAATTTTGTTCAATTTTCTAGCAAAATCTGCTACAGTAGTGTTCTTGATTTTGGTTAATAACTGTGGATTGTCAGTGTAGTCCGTTGGAGTCCATGGTACAAGTTCACTTTCCGATTCGAAATTCTTGTGAATAAAAGTTTTGACTTCAAGGCTTGAAGGATGGTTGTTCGTTTCTTTCATGAGAGCTTCGAAATTTTTTATAGTTACTGATGGAGAATTTATCTGATATAGGTCGACAAATGTTTTTGAGTCATTGAAAATGTTTGCTAATTGAACAGTGTGCAATAGTGGTCCTTCGCAGTATATTTTACTGTCGCATAAGTCAATAACTTGAGCATTGTTAGAGTCAATTAAGACTATTATAAATACGATGAAAGATTTCATAGAAACAATTATATTCTTCTATACATAAAATAAACTGTAGTTATAAGTTAAATTTTCAAACTACGTTCTGATAAGAATGACTTACCGTTCACAATTATTTTAACAGAATATTAATTATGTACACGTATTTTTAAATTTATATAACGAAAATAATTTCCATTTCGTTTTAAGTCAGGGACGAATTTCTTTTACGTTTTACTATTTAAAAAAATTACAATATAATAAAAATTTGCTTTAAAATTAATGTTGTTACTTCCTAAGTATGTACACGCGGAAATAATAAAAAGAGACATTTACTTTGATAATATTAAATTAGATTGACATTACATAATATGTACAATGAAGTTACAACGTACCTTTTCTGACAATTTTTTGTTTATTCCAACTCATTTTATGAAAAAGAAGATATAATTTTGTTTGCATAGTGTGGGATCTTTTATATGTTAATAATAATATTCTTCGTAATAATTGTATCCCATCAATAAATAAAAATGTACTTATAAAAGGATAATTTCGTATAATAAAATTCGATGTCATGACATGTATATAAATTATCAAGAAAAACAAGTCATAATTATAAATAAACAATTCTTGTTTCCCTCCCGATGAGTTTAACCTTTTGTCTTGCTAGAACTGCCACGAAAGGTTGTCGAAATGATGACAAAAATTTAATTCGTATGACGTAATAAAAATGATATAGATATGTAGTGCATGTCGCTACACATAGGACTATTTGGACTAGGCCATTTGCAAATATGGTACATATTATTAGAGTTATTTCTTAGTAGTTAAAATGCATACAATATTATAAATAATTGCTACAGAATTAGCATTGTTATTACTTAAATATGTTCACGAGGAAACATTAGAAACTAATTAAAATTATTTTGTTTATGCCTACGGATACTTCATTTGTTGAATCATTATGTGCTGATAAGATATAGTAAGTATTAAAAACAGTGGCGTGCGGTGACATTTTTGTAAGGGGAAGCAATTGTATAAAAATACAGCAGGCCAGTAAGCACAGCGCCGTAGGCAAATATTTTTCGAGGCGCATTCACCATTTTGTCAAAATCTTGCTTTTTTCCTCAGTACTACAGATATTCGAGATTGAGATTTTTGAAGTGTTACTATTATTGTATTACCTAGTTTAGTACTAGAAGCTATAACAAACTTACCATTGAAAAGCTTCCTTGGTTTATTTAAACGTAAAAAAAACATTTAACTGATTTTTTTTTTATTTTTCCAGCATTTTTCGCACAGTTGACACGGCAGTTGACATTTATTTATAATTAAGATCTATTCGATTATTCTCAATGACTGCAAATTTGTCTATAACATCGTCGTGAAATTTTGGATTTGTTGATAACTGATTAACAAGCTGTTTTTCAATAGATATTGGGGCAAAATTAGAGAGTCTGTCTTCACTTTTTGAGTTTCGTATAAAACTTTTAATGCGCTTTAAAGCTGAAAAACTTTACAAAACTGACGGACTTGTGGCTGGGATGGTTAGTACTAATTCACGCAACTAGACGACTTCACAAAGGGACTTATTTAAACCAGTTGTTATAAGAAAATTTAACACATTGATGAGTGTCTTTTTATCACTAATTTCAGTTGTTTCATAAACAACACTTAATTATAGTGAATTAAAAGCTTCCGCTGGAAATTTTGATGAATCGTAGTTACTAATATTAAAATTGCACAACTCAGTAAATTTTAATATGTTAAAGTTTTGAAATCGAGAGTTCATTTGTTGTAAAATATTATTAAAAATTTCGGCGTATAATCGACGATAGAAGGTCTCTCTGTCGCCGATATTATCAATTTTAATTCTTTTTCTTTCAGGTTCTAAGCCAATGTTTTGAGTCTTATTCCAAAAGTGTTTAAACTGATCTCTTTTTTATTTATTTTATTTTTAAAACCATCAATTTTTTTAATGCAAAGGCCAATGTTATTTGACTTTGTCTGAAAAATGTCGAATAAAATGTTATTAAAAGGGAAAATATCTGCAAAAATGTTGAGCAAAAAATTGAAATCAAAGTTTTGTTAGAGCCAATGCAAATACCCTTTAGCGGCAATAACAGTGAACGAAAATTGCATGTTTAAACTTTTCTTTCACTTTAGCTTGAAGGCCTCCTAAATGGCCAGCCATTACGGCAGTACCATCGTAGCTCTGGGCAACAAGCTTAGAACCACATTTTAAACTTGAAATAATGTCACAAACAATTTTAAACAATGGATCTGCAGTTCGTTCGCTAGTGACGTCCAAAATTCCTAAGAATCGCTCTTGAGGAATGCCATCCAATACATATCGCACAACAATGGATAACTGACTTAAGTTTGCTACATCTGTGGTTTCATCAAGCTCAATTGATACGAAAGATGCTTTTCTAATTTCACTTTTAATGTGATCCATCACAACGTCGGCAGTGAATTTAATTAAATTATTTTGGATTCTGTTTGATATTTTTTAAGACGCGCTTCCGCCGACGGACTCGAAGTATATGGTGTGTGCGTTTACACAGTTAATTTTCTCATAGGTGGTGCGTGCGTTTACACAGTTAATTTTCTCATAGGTGGTGCGTGCGTTTACACATAACACCCATTAATTGTTAGTACATTTACGAAGTTTACGTAATGTTTCAGAGAAAATATAGTACCTAATTTAATATTAAATTCTATGCATTGTAAACTGAAAAATATTAATTTTTAAATCTCAAAGTGTAGGGAAGCGGTGCTTCGCCCGCTTCCATGGACCGCACGCCCCTGATTAAAAACAATTGCAAAAAATGTTTTACAGATTCAGAAGCTACATTTTTTTACTTAATTTCCTTCTACCTCATTAAAATATAATCAGAATCCATTTAGGGTCGTTATTCAACTGGACACCATATTAGTTTCTGAATTTAAGGATATTTTGTCATTAGTATAATATTAAGAGGAACATAGTACCTTATTCTCGAAACAACCAGGACGACTTAAAATAGGATAAATTGTACGTTTTAATTTACAGTGATTGGAAGTATATATTTAGTCAAAACGAGCCTTGCCAAATTTTAAAAATGGCCAAAAACGTATATTAGGTCTGTAAAATTAAATATTTTTTGAAAAAATTTCTGAAACTAGTCAAATAGAAATTAGGAGCTGAAATTCAGCAGAGCTGTTCACCTTTTTATGCATAAGAACTGGGTGTATGGGTTTTAAAAACACTTTATCTTTAATGCGATTTCCATGGTCTTATTTTACTATAATTAAAACACAGATTAGCAAATCGTTTAGAATTGTAATAAAATAAGGTGTTTTACAACCCGTACACCCGGGAAAATTCGCCATCGCCGATTCGCCGTCGCCGAATCACCGTCGCCGATTCGCCGCCAACTGATTCACCGCAGAATATACCAGAGATAACAGGAGATATAACCGTTCGTTGATAAAATTAAATATTTACGATTTTAAGATTAACAGTCATACTTTGCAGTTGCTGGTCCGCGGTAAGAAGGCTGTAGGTGAGAGGTAAGAGAGGAGATAAAGAGAAGAATATTAAGGCCATACATTTTTTTTATTAATAAATAAATGGGTATAGTGGACGGCACAGATAAATTATTTATTGTTTCGGCCTTTACTTGATGAAAATCCATTTTATCTTGAATGAGTAAAACCAAATTTGGTAGATTTTTACAAAGCTTTTATTTAAAAAAAAAAAATAAAAAATTAAAAAAAATTAGATGTAGTGTTTTTAATTTTTATTTTTTATTTTTTAAAATAAAAGTTTTGTGAAAATCTACCAAATTTGGTTTTACTCATTCAATGCACAGATAAATTTTCCTGTTACAGAAATAAATATTAGTATTAATATATCTACACTGCCTGCCCAAAATTATTAGATCACCCAATAATTTCGAGTAAAATTTGAAATAAGATTTATTATATGGTTAGTTTTGAGTAAGAAACATAACAAAACTGCAATTATCATATTATATGCTCTTATATTGCAAAAAATAAGAAAATAAACCTCCTTTTAAAAATCAGCAAATATCCCAAAAAATAATAAGTCAATATCGAGTGTTTCACCCCTTGCTTGTATAACAGCTTCACACTGTGCCCTTATCTTTAAAATAAGCGTCCTTATGTTGCCTTGATCGATGTCGTTTCAAATCCCAGAAATGGCAACAATGAGTCCGTCAAGGTCAGCCGGAGGATACGGAAGTGCTCTAAAACTCCTATCCATCGTGTCCCATAGATGCTTGATGGGCTTTAAATCAGGACTATTAGCTGGCCAATTCATAGTCTCAATATTTTCACCACGAAGAAAATTTTGTGTCACCCGAGCTGTGTGCGGCCGTGCATTGTCTTGCATGAAAATGAAATCGGCACCAAAGTTTTTAGCATATGGCATCACGTGAGGTTCAAGAATATCAGCGATGTACCGAGCAGCAATAACATTGCCCTCCCGAAGCGCCACTAGCTCCGTACGTCCTCCCAAAGAGATGCCTCCCCTGAACATAACACTACCACCACCATGACGAATGTTTTCAACGAAGTTGCACTGTGCGTACCGTTCTCCAGGTCGTCGGTTAACTCGAACTCGTCTATCTAAATGGTACAGGGAAAATCTTGTCTCGTCAAGAAACAAAACTTGACTCCAATCAGCCGGTTCCCAATTAACGTGCATTCTCGCAAATTGAAGTCGGTTCCTCCGATGCTCTGCGGTCAAGCGCGGTCCTCTAGCTGGGATCCGTGGGGTTAGGTTTCATTTCCTTAAGCGTCTTCTTATGGTATTTGAGCTTACTTGTATTCTATAGGTTTCTCTAGCCTCATTTTGCAGCTCAGGAGCTGTTAATGTACGGTTTCAAAGGATTTGTTGGACCATATAGCGATCCTAGATGGTATTGGTGGTGACGCGTCTACGACCCTGACCTGCTCTTCTTTTATGATCCCCATTTTCTCTATATCTTCTTAAAACATACGAAACTGCAGATTGGGTCACACCAAGCCTTTATGCGATATATCGCTGACTACGACTTTCCTCCATTAATGTTACCGCCCTAACACAATTTTCTAGCGATAATGAGTGTCTAACTCAAGCATGCACATTCATTTTCAAGTTCGAAGGAAAAATAATGAAAACAAAATCAATGTTAAACCATTTAAATTAAAATTTATTCTAACCAGAAAAGTATCCAAACTGATAATTTTTTATTACACTTAAACAAACTGCGATATGGAACTCGAAATAACGTTAAGATAAAGAACATGTTTATACATTAATAAAAAAAAGTGGATTCACATGCATTTAGCTACAGAAATTTTGTTCTGAATTTTTTAGGTGATCTAATAATTTTGACAGGCAGTGTATATATAATTTACAAAGACACAGACGACGTTCAAACTTAGAAAAAAAGTGATGCGTCTAATTCTATTACAGCTAAATGACTGTACAATTACAGCATAGTACCCTTCGAGCAAATATGCTCAAAGCTAGTATGGAATAAATATTTTATACCTAACATCGCTGTACAACTAGCCCGGACGCATATTGGCAATTTTTACTATGCTGCACAGCATACATATTGTTGCATCGCGGTAAAGAATGACTAAACAGCCACCTCTCTGTACCCAGACAAATCTTACTTCGACTCAGCACTAGCAGGTGTTCAAACGTAGTAACTATTGTATTATGGATACGCTGTCATTCTCAAAGCATTGTTTACCGTGTTCCAACTCAACATCGAGCATTTTTATGCTACCGCCGCACCAGTTAGGAGGTCATCCAAGAAGAACAACCCTAAAAGACAAAGATCTTAAAAGAAAAATATTGATCTTAATAGACCAAATGCGAAATCACATGGAAATGTCCATTAGGATTAAACTTCGTATGCTTATTATTTTATAACAGTTTTTTTTTAAATAAATATAAATGTTATATGACTAGTGGATTTTGTATTTATTGTGTTCTTTGTATTTTATAGTATGGTTTAATAAACTATTTTTGACAATCCTATTTTCTCAAGGAAGTGTAGGATTTGAAGTGGCTTCAAGTTAGGTAAATCTTTCTCTTCTATTTGATATCCTTCTAGATATAGTGCCCTTGGATTCTGGAGTGCTACACATTTAGTTAAGTTATGAACAAAGGTTTCGTCGTCGTCCTCACAGAATCTGCACTCACTATCCTCTACTACTCTCAGTTTACTTAGGTGTCCTTTTAGTCGGCAATGCCCGGTAAGGATCCCTGTAAAACAAAGTAGCATGTTCTTGCTCAGGCAGATGCAGGCTTTCGATCTTATCTGGTTATATTGACCCAGAAGTATCTTGGCCTGTCTCACCCCCAAGAGATTGTTCCAATTATGGGTTCTTCTACTGATAAGAGAGAGATAGAAAATAAGTTGTATAAAAAATTACTAGAATCAAAAGTGCTGCGCCTTTTTTCACGCATAAGTAATGCGAAATTCGTGAATAACGGGAAAGATAGATTTTTTTCAAACATTTCCTAGTTCAGGAAATTACGTAAATATTTACTTTATTTAATTAGTGTAAACAATACCCCACAATAGTTAATACAGTACTAAATAGGAACTTTCTTTGTGAGCCCGAAGGTCACGGAGAGGTGGTAGGCGTTGTACACAAAGTATTATCTACAGCCTATGGCTCGTGTAATTCTTTCCAAATCTGTTTAAAATGGATATATTGGTGACATAATTAGTCACGCACAAATATGATTTAATTAGTAGTCGCGGAGTAGGCAACCTCATTAGTTTACGAATTAAGGTGTGCCATCTTTCGGAGGAAACGTAAAGTCGTCCAGGGTTATTAAATCCCGTAGTTAGAAATTGGCGAGCACTAATTAAAAGAATGATGACGATAATAATAAGTACGATGATGAATCAATTATAAACGGGATTTTTTTCCTAAGAATGAGTGAGGTCACTGGGAGTAGGAGGAGCCAGTCGTTTCAGACCTCAAACCTATTTGTCAGTAGCTGTCGCGATGTCCAAGCAAAAAGTATACCCTTCTACTACGCAACGCATTAAAATTTCTCTCTCGTGAAGGAGTTTAGGCGACGGAGATATTTCAAAGATTAAAATCACAGTTCAAAGATCAAACATTGTCAAGGATTCGTGTGTTTTCTTGGCATAAGGAGTTTAAAGAAGAGCGAGAACGAGTGAAATATGATCTCCGTTCTTGGACCAGCATTACTGATGAAAACATTCGCGCAGTTCGACAAACTCTTGAAGACCATCGACGAGTTACGGTATCTGAAATTGCAAAATAGGTGATAATAAGTCATAAGAGTTGTCAAACAATTATCATAAAGAACATAGAGTTCTGTTAAATTTGTGGCAGATGAGTACCTCGCCTTTTGAACGATGGTTTTAAATTAAGGCGTTTGGAGGTCTGCCAAAGGCTTGCAACAAGGTTTGCGGAAGAAGGTCATTCATTTTTGAGTCATATCATCACCTGCGACTAGACATGGGTCCACCATTACACTCCAGAGTCAGAACAGGCCAGTATGGAGTAGCGAAAAATAAAGGGTAGGCAGCTGCAATGAATGCCAAAACTGTCAGCTGGCAAGGTTGTTTGAACAGTGTTTTTCGACCAGCAAAGGATTTTGCTCATTGATTTTTTGCACGAGCGACGCACAATTAATGCTGCTTACTACTGCGAGCTATCGACTAAGGTCAGAGATACATATCGCAGCAAAAGTCGAAAACAACGGATTCGAGAGGTCATCCCTTTCCATGACAACACCAGACCAGCTCTAAGAGCCTCAAAACTGGAAGACATGCACTGGACTCAACTGGAACTCCTTCCCTACAGCCCGGACTTATCTCTCTGCGACTTTCGTGTGGAGGCGTTCGTGCGCAATTGGCTGCTGATCCAACCAGTTTTATTTTACGATGCTGGGATGAAAAACCTATATGTGCGCTAAGAAAAATCAATTTATAAAGGGGGAGACTATGTAGAAAAATAGCTTATTTTTGTCTTTTATCGTTTAATAAATGCAGGTGATTAAAAAAACCCCCGTTTATATTTGATTCACTCTCGTAGTTGAAAATTCGTTCCGTGGAATTTATGTTTACACATAATGCTTTATACAACATTTAAATATAACGTAAATGTTAAATACAGCCCTGCAATTAATTTTTAATTTGCTTCATTTTGCATTTAACTGATAACAAATTTGTATAATGTATGCAGAATGTCAAGCTAAATTTTATGTTTAAATATTTTTCAATAAATATGTATTTATTTAGATAGAACCAGGCAGGTAACAGGGCGCAACTAATTAATGTAAGATAAAAAAATTAAGGTTTTATTTTTGAATAGACACGTATTTTGGTTAGACGGCTGATACAAAAATAACGTTTTACGGAAACGACAGAGTGTTTAAAGTGTAACTTTCTTCTACTTATCTGTTAAACTTAATTCATCGCCGCATTTACTTTATATACCTCTTAATTACACAATTTGTTTTAAAAACATTACATAAATGATGCGGCTTTTTAATTTTTATGTTATGGGGAATAATAAAGTTAAAAATGTTGGTAATAAAATTAGTCTACAATTTCTGAAATGATTATTAAGAAAAAGAAAACTTGACAAAAATTAGTAAATTGACTAACAAATTATGGTAATAATTTAACGTAAAAATGCAAACCTAAACCTATTTGACATATATGACATCAAAGATAGCCCCGTTATCATGGTTATTTTGTTTTGTTCAGAGAAGAAGATTTGACACCATTGTGGTTCATAAAAATCGGGTGTCTTACTCGACTTACCCATTCTTCCGTCAATAAAAGACCAAAAAGGAAATCCGAAAGCAGATTTTAAAGTCGAGAGAAGAGAAATTTATTAAAACAACCACATAGAGTAAAAAATAATATAATTAAGTTGTTTATTTCCAACATTCATTATTGTCCATTAATTTCGTGAGTTATTTTTGAGGATTTTTTGACCCCCTCTCCCCCCTGGTAATATTTCGTAAGATTTTCCTCAACTCCCTTCCCTCTTCCCTAATCTCACGTGAGATTTTTCAAAATTTGTATTTTGGGTGTAAATGCGTTTAATTATTAAAAAAAAAAAGGAAAAAATTACGATTTACAAAGACTCCCCTCTCCCCCAAGTGAGATTTAGAAAGATTTAGCTTGATCCGCTCCCCCCTTGAACACCTCACGTAATTAATGGGCGCCCCCTTACATTTAATTTTATATAATCGTTCATTTTTAATTATATTATACGCTTTAAATCAAAAAATAAAAATAGTCTACTTTTGTAACTTTTATTTCGAACTAATACAAAAAAAAATAAAACAGTAACAAATTTTATTAAATTTACTACAACATAAATATCTAATACATAATTTAAGTCAATATAATAGTTCTATTAACGAAAGAGCTATACCATTAGTCCAGCCAAATCCAAATTGTACAATGTACTCGCCTCCCCCACCAAATTCTCCAACGTTCACTGCATCGTATTTTTCAAACATTTCTTGAGCATTATCATATCCTGTCATATATGCCGTCAATGTTCTTTCAGCATACATTTTAGAAGCCTGAATAGCTCTATCATTTCCTGTATATTTCAAACCCAGAACGACAATCTCTTGGAGCGGTGGCCAAGCATTGGGAAAGTCCCATTGTTGTCCGCTGTGTATCAACGAAGTTGGAGTTCCTCCTAAGAAAGCATCTATACCATTTTTTTCTAAATAATCAACTGCATTGCTACCATATTCATCTTTGTTTTGAGGATCAAATGCTTCAGCCCACAGCGGTGCCAAATTGCTACCAAAGAATTCTTTTCTATGCTGGGACAGATCGATGTCCCAGTCGTACCAAATTTTATCTTCTTTATTATAAAGAACATCTTGGATAGCTTGCATCAACTGTTTTTCGATGTTACCCCATTCATTTGACTTGTTTGTATTACCGATGATTCTGTAAAAGTTAGATAGTTCTCTAATAGATCGACAAAAGAAAGCATTGAGATCTACTGGTACGAGACGAGTGGTATTTATGAAAGTTATATTCGTACCGATGGATCCGTCTGGATTGAAAAACCATCTGGAAGAAAAATCCCAACCTGATTCGGCTGCAGATTTAAGATTTCTGTAACATGCTTCCTAAAAAACGATAATATTGATTAGTATAGAATGGGCGTATCTCCAGATAGCGGATAGGAGAATGGCCAGGACGTCGTGTTTTGGATAGTGGTAGTCACAAATATATAATAGTCTCCCTAATTCACCCCCTTACGAGTGAATTTTAACCTCAAAAGCTAAGCTTGTCCGGGGAAAGGGACAGCTATTGTTATTATTAATATTTGCCGTGGCGCTCCGGGGCGACTTAAAGATGATTGATGGTCCCATTTGACTTACAGGTGACAGAAACCCGGAAAACTACACCCACCATCATCAAAAACGGTAACGCATGGTGATTTTTAACAATCTGGATGTCATATCAACAGAAGTTAAATTTCTGCAAATAAATTCACATGGTCTTCCGTAGGATCTGAAACCGTAAGGTAGTTTGGATCAGATGATATCTGGATGGCGACAGGACCCAGCACCTCTTGTAAAGGGCGGCCGGCAAAAAACAGAAAAATCTTTGGACCGGAGAACAAAAGAGAAACCGGTCCGATAAACCATTCCAATAATCTTTTAACAGTAAAGTTGAGAGACCTAATATTGACTGCACTAACTGAAAGGCAGGAAAAATAGGCTAATGAGGTCTACAGCTCTTTTTTGAAACTACTATTCTACTAACAAGAGCTTAATTCTTTCCCGCGATGATCAAGTTTACAAGATATTGGGTTAAACCAACTTTTAAAACTCTGGTAATTTAGGCAGATGCGAAACAGATGCAAGATACATTCTTAAGTAGGGTGACTGATCCAGTAATGGTCACTGACCCTGGCTTGATGTGCTGAAATACCAGACCGCTAACTTCACTCCACTGACAACTGTCAAATAAAATTAACATGGCGAAATAGAATCAGCTGATATTTTTCATGTTTTAATAGGCGAAACGTTTATAGTTTTTGTGAGTTATTAGAAAGAAAAGGAAGTATTTTTTTGGCATTCAGGTAAGATGCAATAGTAAATACATACCGAAACATAAATCTATTCTGGTTATTAAATTTTCGCCTTGATTTTTGGGGATGACCATTACTAATACCTTGAAATAAGGAAGGTAACAGTTTTGGACACAACGGTGTCCATTACTGAAACAAATGTTTTAAGTAATGATCACCCCTTTTAAAAAGGGTAAACTAGGTGAGCACTGCGTAAATAAGTTCAGTTAAATTTAGCTAGATAAATATTTTATGGCTCTTATTGGACTCTTTTTAGACTCATGTTTTATTATTTACAACATTTACAATTTTAGATACCCAATATGGAAAAAAGACAGACTGAAGGAAAAGTGAGGAATTTCTTTGCTTACAGTGAAGATGACCTAAAAAAGGCAATAGAGGCTGTAAAAAATGGCATTTCAAAGAAGACTGCTGCTCGTATGTATAATTTTCCCCGTTCTACATTAGTAAGAAAACTGTCCATGGCTTCTTTAACCATTAGAAGAATGGGTCCTGCAACGGAACTTTCCAAAATAAAAGATAATATCATTGACAATTGGATATTAGCCATGGCAAGAAAGGGATTTCCTGTTCATAAACAAAATCTAATTTTTATCAGTTAAAAAAATACTTGAAGAAAGTGGAAGAGAAACACCCAGTTGTTCCTGGTTTCAGGGTTTTTTAAGGAGGCATCCTAAAATCAAACAGAGTCAATAAGTAAAGCCCAAGCTGCCGTCTCCCAAGATAGAATAAAAAACTTATGTAAACAAGGACAACTGGTTCGGGGATATTAGTTATGTAAAATTTTATAATGTTTGGGCATCACTTAAACAGAAAATTGAAAAAAAATAAGAATTAGCTAGACTAAGTAAAGATAATCATGGATCAGGAACAGAAAAATGACACAAATCATCTGAGAAATCCCCTAAGAAACGAGATTCTTTAAAAAATGAGAACATTCATCACCGGTTGCTGGCCCATCAAGGTGCTGGAAAGCTCCACCAAGAAAAAATATTCTGTACTATGAGGAGATCGAAAAAGAAAAGTATATAAGGTTCCTACACCATTTAAGAGTCTTATATTTCCAAATCAAGAAGAACATTTTTTGAAAACTCCAAAGCAGAAGAGAACATTTTTTCTTGCTGTGGTTTCTAGTGGAAACTATGGGGAATTTTATGAGGCTTCTAAGAAAAAAAAAAAACAAACCAAAAAGTGAGGAAGGAAAATACGATTCCAAGTAACAATGTTGATGAGAATAGCTCAGAATCTGACATGTAGGTTACCTATAATGATGAAGATCTTGATCTAAGTGAACCAAAAAAGTTGTAGACTGGCCAACACGTTATCGTTAGATATGAAGACAACTGTTACCCAGGTATAATTAATTTGTTGTGTTTACTGTCAGTCTGTATGTTTCTTAGTTATTATTTTTAATACTTAATTTTGTTACAGGAACGGTTTTAAAACATGATCTTGAAGGTGCTGAAATAAAGACCATGATAATTGCCGGAATTAAGGCTTGGAAATGGCCAATAAAGGAGAATGTGCTCTATTATTTTAATGAAGATATTGTGTGTATCATCAACAAACCCCAGCCAAAAAATAACAAAGGTCTTATATAAATTTGGCACGTTTTTGAAGTCGGTTTTTTAAACTTTTAATTTTTAATACTTGTCTTTTTCATTGAATTATATTAAGGTGGGTTCCCTATAGTAGGCTTCATTCATCATTATAGTTGAATTTGAGTCAGTAAGTATAAAATTAAATACTACATTGGTTCACTGAATATTAAATCTAGAATATATCAGTTTAAAAAATTGCTGCAAGAAAGAAAATTGTGCATGTTCGTATTCCTATTTTGAGTATTTAAGAAAATCAGAGATATATAAATCTTTGGAAGTGTTCTCAGTAAAGCTCTTATTATAATCAGCTATAGAGGACTTTAATGCAAAACAACCATTTAAAACAGAAATTTGAAGAACTTTTTCAGAAAGTGTCAGTTTTCTTACACAAAAAGCTACTTTAATGGGTCTACTCTTTCACAAAGTTTAAAATTCCAAGTAGTTATAAGATATTCAGCTAAGACGTTTTAAAATTTTTATGAAACCATATAAAAAAGATTAGAAGACTTTCTTAAGCCAAGCCAATGAAAAACGGTGTTGTATAATTTTTAATGCAACTAAATACTTGTTCTTATGGTCAAACACCATTCACTTTCAATGAATCAGCTTCGTTGATCAGCCAAAGTGGGGAGTCGCTTCAATTTTATTAAATCATAATATTATTAAACGACATGAATAAACAAATGTTTACTTTAATCCAATAAGGTTGAGTATTATACCTTTATGCTTGAAACTATTTTATTCCATTGATATTGATTTAGTGAAATCGACTAATGAAATCCTGCCATATATTTAAGTTCAAGGCTTACCTTTTGGTCATTGTCAAAAGTTTTGCATGTTTCTATATCTTCTGAATATGACTCAGGTCTGGGTGTTCCTATTTTAACGTTATATTGTACCAGTTTGTATGACTTTCCCGATCTCTCAACGGTAACTGATCTATTTTCTAACCACCAGTTTAGTTCTTGCTCAATGGTATCAATGTGTTTCTCCAACCACGTTATGTTGTTTGTAGCTTTTATATAAAGGCCAACCATCGCCGAGAAAAGAGGAGGTTGTGATCTATTCAAATAGTAGATTCTGCTGCCATTGGGAATGAATCCAAATCTATTAGAAATAATATTTTAGTATAAATTAAGCTATAAAAAAAATGTTTATTGTTGTATAGGTGCTTGAGAAATTACCAGCACCTATAAAAACAACCTGTTTTGAAAAGAAATTGAAACAAAACGAAATAATAAAGAATTATAATATGGCCATCTTCTATAAGACAAATGAATTTAATAATATATTCGGCAATTGGTATCGCCTATAAAGGCATTTTTAAGTGAATAATATTCGGTATAATATATAGTATAATATAATATATGTATATTAATACATTAACAGAACTCGATCAATATAAGTTGATATCAGCAACACCAATGACTCGACTAGTGTACTACCGTCTAATTCAGCCATACTCAACCTTTTTTCCTTCGGGTCACATTCGTATATGTGCTGTGTTACACGGGCCACAATATTTTTGGATGATGACCTTTTTTTAGCCCATCTATCTAAAATTAGTTAGTGGGGACCTCTAATAAATAAAATACAATACATAAATGTATCCCGTTGTGTTACTGCAAAAACAAGATAACTTACATTTTTAGAATTTCGATAAAACACTATTCAAATGTTTAAAACTAAATAAAAAATCAGTAAAAGTTTCAAACCATTTATTAACTTCAATGAAGAAGGTATTGAAAACATTGTTCACAAAGTATAAACTAATAATCTATCAATAATTGATAAAAAAAAGAGAAAAAACGTCACTTAGCTTATTTTAGCTCTACAAATCATTATTCAATGTATTTGTCACTATCTTCAGTCGAAGTTTTAGTAACATTATTGGATACAGGTAGATTGTGATAATAATGGTGAAATTCATCAGGTGTATCTGAGTTTGCAAAATTTTAGTAAATCTTTCTTCTTGCACTTTTTTGTAAGTATTTTCAAAACTTCATTTCATCCTTCCATGCATCCCTCTGAATAAATGCTGTGCGAGTTTGGCATATAAAACCGAATTCCACCCTCGCCCATTGATAAATTAAATCTATTTTTCTGGTATTTAGGATAGCTGAATCTTTCGATACGTTGCCTATTAGAAAATATGGTTAAAATTCTAATTCGCCTGTTACCACTAATACTTTTATTTACGAATTTTTACATAAAGATTCGCTCGTTACGGCTTAACGAATCCCTCGTTACAGCTTGACCAATCACCCCTTACATCTTGACCAATAACTCATTCACCACGGAGATTCGAACAGACAAGAAAGGGTGACCTAATCATTTCGTGAATTTTGGAACAATCCAGAAAGGTCAGATACGGCTCTAGTCATAACAAAACAAATGGCGTGGGCACAATGCAGTAATATTTCAACTAACACATTTAACAAAAATAAGTAGCGGCAAACCACTTCCGAAATACTGGTACGTTTTTACTCGAAATTACCGAAATCACTACACATTTTCTCGAAAATTCCAAAATCATCATCTAAAATCATGGTCAAAATTAATTCGTCGCTCACAACCGGAAATGGCGAGACAAAAGATAATCGTATGAAATTAAGGTGGATTTTCAGTGAAATCACCTGAATTACCTAAAAAATTTTTAAGTGATTTCCGAAATACAGGTACGATTTGACCTTATTGGTTTCCCCTCGGTTCTGGCCTTTATCTTGTTTTGGCAGGAACACTATTAGAATCAGACTAAATATATTTAGCAAAAATAAGTTATATACCTATTATCTGGTATTGATAGACACACATCAATTGAACACAATGTTATGATTGTTTTGGTATAAATGCCACTCCATCTTGTTTGTCCATATTGTTAATGTATTAACATGGAGTTAGTTATTATTGACTATCTATTTATTATGAATATAGACTTCTTTCACACTTGTAGAAAGTGTACCTACTTAACTCGAAAATTCCAAAAGTGAAGCTGCCTTGTTTTTACAGTAACTCCACAAAATTCCAAACGTTTATTTAAAAATTAGCATGCTATTTAGCGCTGCGACCAATAATAGTGTTGCGGGCTACAAAAAAAGCTTGGAGGGCCGCATGCGCTCCAAGCTTTTTTGTGGCCATAGGTTGAGTATGGCTGGTCTAATTGGATTTCCGAGTACAGCCTATTGACTTATTTCATTTTGTCCCATGCAATTCTGTACTTTTGTCACTTTTGTATCTTGTGCAAGTACAGACAGGGCCTTAATTGAGTAAATGCTACAAATTCCACTTCAAATCCTACACTTCCTTCAGAAAATAGGATGAGAAGGGTCGTTATAGGTATTGAGACATTTCCTTGGTGCATTGGCGAGAGAAGGGGCACAATAGATCCTTTAGGTCGCAGTATATTAACAACCCCTTCCCAACATAACATGCTACAGATATTATAGTCAACCTGTGCTTGTCCAAAAAATCTCTGGCTCTTGCACTCGCAAGAGATTCTTTCTATTTATTGTACTTACATATTTTAAAACTACGTATGTTATGTTGCCAATGGGGTGTTAGTACACGTCTCAAGGAAGTTTAGTATTTAAAGTGGCTTTAAATTAGGTTAATCGCTTCTAGGTATAGTGCCCTTGGATTCTGGGGTACTACAAGTCAGAATGTAAACTAAGATTTCGCCCTCCTCTTACAGAATCTACACGTATTATTTTCAATGAGAATACTTTTTTGCAATACGTAGCCTGTTATTGCTCAGGCAGATACAGGCTTCCGATCTTTTCTAGTTATAATTACCTAGAAGTATTTTAGCCTCTCTTAGCCTCAAGAGATTGTTCCAATTATTGGTTCTTCTTCTGTCCAAATATTTTTTAATCTCTCCTAATATTGTGTTACTTCTGATACCGCAGAACGGCTCAGGTCTCACAGAGGGTGTTTGAAACCATTTTCCTGCGAGACTATCTGCAGTCTCGTACCCTCTCGCCCCGTTATGTCCCGGAACCTAAGTGAGAGTAACTGTATTTTTCTTGCCTAGCTAATTTAACTTTTCTAGACATCTCCAGACCATTTTTGAGCTAATTACGTAAGAGCTCAGCGTTTTGATGTCTGCTTGGCAATAGGACATGATAATCTCTTGTCTACAATAGTTTCTTTCGATGGTAAACTGGATACATTTCTCAATGGCGTGAATTTTTGTTTTAGGCCTATACACTTCTATTCCAGTTTATTTTATGATTTTGGAATAATTCGTATACCAGTGAATGTATTTCGGTTGCAATTACTATGGATTCTTGACTCCATTCTTTTTTGCAGTACTTATAGATAGCAGCTGAGCCATCTTTTTGGATGTGGTAGTATCTACTCCTCAATACGCAAGTGCTCTTTTGACAGATTTGTATGGTGTATAGTTAAATGATCCTTCTATGTCTAGAAAGGTACACACGACCGTTTTTTTGTTTATCAGTGCGTCCTGGATTAAGGTAGTCAGCTGTACTAGGGCGCAAGAATTTAGGATGTGTGGTATTCTTTTTCCCTACTTTTGAAATAAAGGTGAGTTTGGTCTTTCTCCAAGATTCTAGTATATATCCTAGTTACACACTGTTCCGGGATATCCAGATTATAGGTGGTAGTAATTCCTCCAGCATCAGGGCAGGAAATAGTCCATCCACACCTAGAGACTTATACGGTTCAAAAGTGTTTACGGCCCACTTTAAGCGATTGCTGAGGCATGTTTGGTCACTACAGAGGCCTCTGTTGGGAGTCTGCTTACCTTAGTTGTGTCCCTTATTAGAAAAGGTGTGTTCCCAGGAAAGTGACTTTCTAGTAAAGGCGAGGATCTTTAACACCATAACTGTATCAACTCTCCCCTTTACCAGAGCCTTGTGTAGTCTTGTTGCCGCAGGTGTAGAGTTAATCTCATCGCAGATTGTTCTAAAGCTGTTTTTAGCTTTGCTGATTTCTTTGTTGTAGGTGGTAAGTGTCTCGGTATAGCTCTGCCAATCTCCGCTATGCTTGGTCCTATTATAGAGCTTCCACACTTCGCATCGTAAGTTTGACAGATGACGGTTCCACCAAGGAGCATACCCACTAGTTATATTTCGTTAAATGAAGCAGCTTGGTTTAGCCCATTTAGTTCTTCGAGGTCGGTTTCCAGAGCAAGTGGATGCGTGGGCCCATTTTGGTCTGGATACCTGCTACATTTTGATTAAGAATGGTGTTGTATTTGCCTTAATCTGTTTTACTAGGATTCCTCCTAAGGGTCGTCTCAGGAGTGTTCTATAACGTAAATTATCTTGTTCTCAAATGGAGATGATTTACTCGATACTCTCTAGTTTGTAACCAGAAATACTAAGGTAGTTTCGTGTACTGTATATTTAAGGCTAGTTTTTGTGTTCTGGAAAATGTCCCAGCCCTCCAGTATCTGTCACAGACATAGATTTGTAGGCGCTGATTTTCATTATGGTCATTTTGATTAGAATCTAGAATGAAGTATTGAAGAAATATGGTTTTTTTGGGAATAGTACTCTATTATAGTTAGGAGACGTTTTATTCCATATAAAATAATTGTTGCGACTGACGCTCAAAAAAAATTATTCTTTTATACAAATTTTAGAATATATATAGTCAGGAAGGAGGAATGCTAAATGACCTTGGAATCGCGATAGTATCTAATTTTGACAATGAACTAGAGAAATATGGCGAGAAGTGTTTCCGGTTTACCAGTGATGTACGGTCATAAAGGGGCGTAGAAAAGAGAATAATTAATTCTCATTTGCATATCATCTAAATTTACGCAGTGTCTAGGTACACGCTAACTTGTACGCAATTCAAAAAGTTATATACACGCGAAACGTCTTGACAGAGTAGGTGAGATGTGTCCATGCCGGTCGGCGTAGCCAGAAACGGATTGAAATTTTCTGGTGGCGGCGAAGCCGCTACCCTACAAGAATTTGTTGCTTCATTTTCTTGTTGTCAAGGCATCATTATTATTTGTTCATGTATGTGAAATTTGCTTCTAAGGTTTATAAAATACTAATGCTAGCTGAGTAGCTGCTAGTTACGGCGTAACTGAAAACAAATAACACGCATTCACACAAACACCTCCCACCACAGCAATATGACGTTCCGCGTGTATATAACCTAGCAACAGCGCTTAATTTACCGATTTCTCTCATTTTAATGAATAGCTATTTGCTTGCGTGAAGTTTGCATTTTTTTTATTAACCTTTATTATGTGAATAAATTTTACTTTCAATTTGTATGTTGGGTGGGTCAATATAGGAAAATATTTTTGGGATAAATTATAGAGGGGATTAATTTGAAAAATCAAATCAATAATGTATTAAAAAAATATATTGACTTTTTATGTCTTTATTATGACAATATTTTTATTAATTTACATTTTACAAATTATTAAGATTTGATAAATAAATATGTTTTGTAGATATGCGTTAAAAAAAGTTAAATATCCCATAGTTAAATTTAAGTCAAACACCGCTGTGATATTTCTTTCTTAGATGTTTTAGTTGAAGTACATATAAAACTTCCTAATATTTAAGAGAATATCTGATTATTTTATTACAAAATATTATATTAGTAATATTTTTTGCAGAACTTTCATTTTGCATAAGCAGGTAAAGCACCTTTCCATAAAAGGATCCTATAACGTAATAACGAGTGCAAAATAGATTATTTCTAAATGTACATTCAAATATGATCGTAAGAATTTAAATTTTGGTAAAAAGCAACGTATTATGTATATGCTTAGTCCAGAGTCAATTTGTACTCAAAAGTATTTGATATCATCTGTAATACTTATATGAAACTAGTGAACGTTACCTTTTATTATGTTTCTATAGGAAGAGGGCATCTTTTTGTAACTGTATAATGGAACAACATACGTTTTATCAAAGGTTTGTAAGTTTTTATAATTAAACTAGGGCTTGAAATTGTATTCGGTTAAGTCGATAATTCGAATATTCGAATACTCAAAATTCGATATTTTTAGATCGACATTATTCGAATAGTCGATTAGTCGAATAGTCGATTAGTCGAAGAGTCGAATATTCGAATAGTCGAATAGTCGAATATTAGAATAGTCGAATATTCAAATAGTCGAATATTCAATAGTCGAATATTCAATAGTCGAATATTCGAATAGTTGAATATTCGAATACTCAATATTCGAATACTAGATATTCGAATATTAAACTAATTGCTAGGTATTCGATACTCGAATATTCGAATACTTAAATATCGGAATACTGTAAATGTTCAAATATTCGGATATATATTTTGAATTTATTTATATAGCTAATTTTAATGTTTCTTTTTTATCTATTGCTTAAAAATAAAGGCAGAAGAAAAACGACTAACAAAATTCTGACTTGGGAATTGGGATTCGGGACTATTACGTTACGGCAACATTATATTTATTTATTTCCTTGTTGTTTTATTTGGTAAATGAGGGGAACCCCAACGTTGTTTCACATTCGCACTTTTCACACGCTTTTTTATGTTTGTTAACTTATAATTTACTAGGTATTTTATTCCTATTAGTGTGTGTGTGTCTGTCAACGCTTGCCCGCTACAGATGTTAAATATAAGTTCAGAACGCAGTAAGATTTGGCTTCACTTCGATAAAAAAGAAAATTGTGTATAGTGTAAATTATGTACTTACAATGTCATACACAGAAGTAATACCAGTAATTTATGGAATCAATTAAGAACTAAGCACCATACCAAAACAAACAGGTATGGATTATACATTAATCAAATAATCAAATACTCGAACATTCGAATATTCCAATATTCGAATATTCGAATATTCGAATTTTCAAATACACGTATACCTACTCGAATATTCGAATACTCGAATAGTCGAATAGTCGAATAGTCGAATAGTCGAATAGTCGAATAGTCGAATAGTCGAATAGTCGAATAGTCGAATAGTCGAATAGTCGAATAGTCGAATAGTCGAATAGTCGAATAGTCGAATAGTCGAATAGTCGAATAGTCGAATAGTCGAATAGTCGAATAGTCGAATAGTCGAATAGTCGAATAGTCGAATAGTCGAATAGTCGAATAGTCGAATAGTCGAATAGTCGAATAGTCGAATAGTCGAATAGTCGAATAGTCGAATAGTCGAATAGTCGAATAGTCGAATAGTCGAATAGTCGAATAGTCGAATAGTCGAATACTCAAACGTACGAATAGTCGAATATTCGAATAGTTGAATATTCGAATAGTTGAATACTCGAATATTCGAATAGTTGAATAGTCGAATAGTCGAATAGTCAAATAGTCGAATAGTCGAATAGTCGAATAGTCGAATAGTCGAATAGTCGAATAGTCGAATCGTCGAATAGTCGAATAGTCGAATAGTCGAATAGTCGAATAGTCGAATAGTCGAATAGTCGAATAGTCGAATAGTCAAATAGTCGAATAGTCGAATAGTCGAATAGTCGAATAGTCGAATAGTCGAATAGTCGAATAGTCGAATAGTCGAATAGTCGAATAGTCGAATAGTCGAATAGTCGAATAGTCGAATAGTCGAATAGTCGAATACTCAAACGTACGAATAGTCGAATATTCGAATAGTTGAATATTCGAATACTCAATATTCGAATACTAGATATTCGAATATTAAACTAATTGCTAGGTATTCGATACTCGAATATTCGAATACTTAAATATCGGAATACTGTAAATGTTCAAATATTCGGATATATATTTTGAATTTATTTATATAGCTAATTTTAATGTTTCTTTTTTATCTATTGCTTAAAAATAAAGGCAGAAGAAAAACGACTAACAAAATTCTGACTTGGGAATTGGGATTCGGGACTATTACGTTACGGCAACATTATATTTATTTATTTCCTTGTTGTTTTATTTGGTAAATGAGGGGAACCCCAACGTTGTTTCACATTCGCACTTTTCACACGCTTTTTTATGTTTGTTAACTTATAATTTACTAGGTATTTTATTCCTATTAGTGTGTGTGTGTCTGTCAACGCTTGCCCGCTACAGATGTTAAATATAAGTTCAGAACGCAGTAAGATTTGGCTTCACTTCGATAAAAAAGAAAATTGTGTATAGTGTAAATTATGTACTTACAATGTCATACACAGAAGTAATACCAGTAATTTATGGAATCAATTAAGAACTAAGCACCATACCAAAACAAACAGGTATGAATTATACATTAATCAAATAATCAAATACTCGAACATTCGAATATTCGAATTTTCAAATACACGTATACCTACTCGAATATTCGAATACTCGAATATTCGAATAGTCGAATAGTCGAATAGTCGAATAGTCGAATAGTCGAATAGTCGAATAGTCGAATAGTCGAATAGTCGAATAGTCGAATAGTCGAATAGTCGAATAGTCGAATAGTCGAATAGTCGAATAGTCGAATAGTCGAATAGTCGAATAGTCGAATAGTCGAATAGTCGAATAGTCGAATAGTCGAATAGTCGAATAGTCGAATAGTCGAATAGTCGAATAGTCGAATAGTCGAATAGTCGAATAGTCGAATACTCAAACGTACGAATAGTCGAATATTCGAATAGTTGAATATTCGAATAGTTGAATACTCGAATATTCGAATAGTTGAATACTCGAATATTCGAATAGTTGAATACTCGAATATTCGAATAGTTGAATAGTCGAATAGTCAAATAGTCGAATAGTCGAATAGTCGAATAGTCGAATAGTCGAATAGTCGAATAGTCGAATAGTCGAATCGTCGAATAGTCGAATAGTCGAATAGTCGAATAGTCGAATAGTCGAATAGTCGAATAGTCGAATAGTCGAATAGTCGAATAGTCGAATAGTCGAATAGTCGAATAGTCGAATAGTCGAATAGTCGAATAGTCGAATATTCGAATACTTAGAATAATTCGAATAGTAAATAATTTGGGTATTCGAATAAAGTTTCAAACGAATATTCGAATACAAAAATCTGAAAAATTCCGAGCTCTAAATTAAACCATTCGACAATTTTTATAAGATCTGTTTCCATTATTAATTTTAATCAATTGCAGCCTTTTGCATTTTACAGGATAACTGTGTCGTCTGAAAAACTTACAATATTTTCATCTATATTTAAACGACAAAATATTTAAAATAAAATAAAACAACATAGGATCTAAGACAGTATCTTGAGGCATACAATATGCTACTTATTTGCTTACTGAAGATATTAATTCTATTTGTGTTCATTTTTGTAAATATCTTCGTAATAAATTATATAGAATGACTCACATTTATACAATAAACTTCTGATATACTTCAACCGGACCACTTTTATTATTGAAACAGCTGTTGGTAGTAGTCTTATTCTTAGTTTTGAGGTTCAATCAAAACAATCTGCTTTAAAATGCCGTGAATACAAAAAATTAAGGTCTTTTGGCTCACAATTTGTTTGTTGCATAAAGTCAAGCCATATCTTTCTTTTTTAAAAATCTTTAGGAAATCTGAAAATTGTTTATCTAGGATTAATTTATATAATTTGTAAATCTAGAATCTTTAAGAAATCTGAAAATGGTTTACTTACAATGAATTTATAAATCTAAATTGAACATAAATATCTTAAAATTGCATAAAAGAATTGTTTTAATGGAAGAAACCATGAGACTACGCCTATGAGCACAGCACTTACCATGTTTGTTTACAAACTTAAAACATTAAAATTTAAAAAATCTTTAATGTGGTTGAAAATTAAGAGAACATGGCCTGCTCTTTCCTGACTATCTAAGATCCAAATAAACTATAACAACTAACTTAATTGTATAACAAATAGTTAATACAATATACTACGAAGTATGAATTTTTAAGACTCAATACGCTCTGATATTTGATATTTTGTCATATCAAGCACGTCCCCTGTCACTGCTCTTGTAATACTAAAATGCTTCCATAGAAACTGTTATTATCATCTCTGTAATATAATATAATTTCAGTTATCGTTAAATTATACATACCTTTGAATGAGAGAAATAAAATTTTCCAAAATTCCTCTAACCGTTTCAGTCATTCCACTTATAATTAATCCCTTAATTATCCAATAAGTGTCCCAATAATAAATTTCTGCAAATCGTCCTCCGGGAATAATAAATCCATTTGGAACAGGAATAAAGGAATGTCTATCCTGCTCTTCGAAAACACTGTCTTTAACTTTTCTTCCCAGTGTTGGCCAAATCTTTACTAAAGCTTGGGCAAATTCTTTCACTTTAGTATCGTTTATTGTATTCAAAAAATCTGGATTTTCGACGTAATCACCAGGCGTCCAAGATTCCAGTTCTGTTGCCGATTCGAAATTTTCATTAAGAAAATTTAGAATTTCGTCATGTGTGGGGCTGTTATTGGTATGAGCTAATAGTTCTTGAAAATGATCCAGAGTTATGTTTTGGGAATTTTTCTGAACCATGTCAACAAACTTTTTTGAATCGTTGTAAACGTTGGATCTTTGGACGACATCGAGAAGTTGTCCCTGACAATATACGGGATTATCACAGTCTAATACTTTGGCCTTTGCATGATGACAGCAAACAATGGCCAGTAGAATATATATGGGTTGTTTCATTTAAAGCTTTAATTTACCTAAAATTAAAATGTTTTATTTAATAATAAGCTCTTGATTTTTAGAAGATACATCATTTAAAAAATATTTAAAAGAAGTTGTGACTGTAATAACGTTAACTATAGTCAGGGAACAGAGAGTCGAAAAGACGTTTCTAAAACATTGGACTGTGCACTCGAAGATATACTTTTTCAAAAATATGTACCATTTGCGAAATGACCCTGCAGATGCAAATTCGAAGAGTTTTGTTAATTTAGCAATTGCAAAAAGGAATAAAAAAATATTGTTCGATTATTTTGATTTATCGTGAAATAGTTATTTTCCTAACAATTGCGGAAAGTGTTACTTTCCCGCACGCGACTGCAGTTGGCCCGAACGACGCGAAGCGGAGTTCGGGCAAGCGGTCAAGTGCGGGAAAGACTTTTTACGTATTAGTTAGGAACATTATTTTTTCTACGACCGTATATACAAAAAAGTAGGAAAAATTATTTTTGGAAAATTATTTTATTTCAACATATACAAATCTTTAAATAAAAACAACTAGTTATTAGGGATATTAATGTTAAATACACAATTTGTAGCATTTTGTAAATTATGTAAAATTGCCGGTACAGAGGAATTAGTTGGTGTTAATTGGCTGTTAATAGTCGTAACGCTCGTAGATTGAAAAGATGACGTGGACGGGAGTGACATCGGTTGCAGGTCGCATGAAAGTGAAAATGACGGTGGCAGCAAAGGTTGCAAGTCATTTCTATTTGAAAGAATTTTATTCGAAATGTTTTTCTTCTGTGTTTCGGAGTCCTCCAAATAGCCTTCAGCGATAGTAGTGGACTTCCAGCCACCGAGACGTTTTATATTGGTTATCGCTTCACCTGAGTCTGCTAGGAATGTTGCTGAAGAACGTTTAAAACTGTGTCCTGTATATCGTTCAGGATTAGGTAGATGCAAATATGCAGCAATCTCTGTTGGCATCTTACCAAAGGTGTTTACGCCAACGCACTGAATTGATCATTTTCCCTTCTTATAATTAATAAAAAAGCGGCGATGCGGAGTGGTAGGTGGTCGTAAACCTGCGTACTTTCTGTACAGCTTCAGAAAGTTTCCATTATTTATTTCTTCACATAAAACAAATGATCTTGAAGAATGATTTTTGGAATCGGAAATTTTCACAACTATCAGATTGCCTTTATCTTGTATATCATCGAGAGTGATATTTACAAGCTCCGCTCTGCGGAGAGCACCAGCTAAAGCAAAAATGGTACTCACTTTAATCATAAGGTGTACCTCATCAGGGGCTAACATAAACCTGGATATATCTTCTTTGGTAAAAACCTGCGCCTTCTGTGCTCGAAAACCAATATTTTTTTGTTTTAGAAATGACGTTAACTTATGGAACTGGTTTATATCCAAATTTTGTTTTATTTTTACTAAACTTTTCACCATCGAATAGCGAGACCATAAAGTATTAGATTTCAAAAACTTACTTAGGTGCGAAAAATACGCCAGAAACACCTCTTCTTTGTAGGTTTTTACCCCTTCCTGTTTACACCATGTGACAAAATGGTCGTATTGTTTTTCATATCTTCCTCGTGATTTGGCAGGTAACACCTCCAAATATGCTTCATTTGCAGCTTTTGAAATGGCTTCGGGCAGCTCTTCATCCGATGAATCCATTATTTCTTTAATTTATTTTAATTCAGTTGACGCTTCAACAAACAACTTTGACGTTTTTGTAACAAAAACACGCCTTGGTTACAATATAGCAACCATATCAAGCCATACATGTCACAGCCTAGTCTGACTTTTAAAAATATACAGAAGGTATATAAAAATATCTCTATTATTTTTCCAAAAAATTAAAATTATAACAAAAAGCAAGAAAAAAAGTAAATTTTATTAAATGGAATAGTTGGAAAATACTAAATTACCTATTGTAACAATAGTTATAACATCCGAGGTAAAAAAACTATACAATAGGTAAGGCCAAATATTCATAATTTTACTTTCCCGCACTAGTGCGGGAAAGTGATTTTTTCCCGCGATAGTGCGGGAAAGTGACACTTTCAAAACTAAAATGCATGCGGGAAAGTGGGTAAAAATACACGGTCGTAGAAAATAGTATATTACATTACGAGTGTGGAAAGTGACATTTTTCACACGAGTGGGAAATATTGTCGCACGAGGCGTAAGCCGAGTGCGACTATCACACGAGTGTGGAAAATCACTTTTCACACAAGTGATGTACAATATTTTTCCTACGACCACAAAATAATTTCATCAAAAAATGTAAAACCAGATTATTATAATAATTAAAATGTATTTAAAAAAATAATCAACAATAATCGTATTTATTAAATTTTCATAATTTCTAAACAAATAAAAAAAAATAAAAAAAAAAATAAAAAAAAAATTCTGGCACAGCCAGGATTCGATCGCGGTCGTTGGACGGTCTCAAATTGCAAAGTTGATGCTCTAACCAACTGAGCTAACAGGCCTTACGGTAATTGATTGATCTAATCGCTTATGTGTTTAACCAGAATAAAAAGCAAATATATCTTAGTTATTTTAAAATTATTTTAAAAATAATTGTTAAAGATAAATATCTAGGATCTAATTTACAATAATTTAACAATCATATCGATTTTAGTATTAATATGGACATTACATAGATCAAAATAGAAATTATGTGTTTGACATTTTCTGACAGCTACTGCGGAAAGTAGCATATTCTCACTTGGGTGGAAAGTAAATTCTTATTCATACGCGTGTGATATAGGGCACTTTCCATAGGTCTATATAGTGTGATATGTGTCACTTTCCTAAGTGGTCGTAGGAAAAAACAATTTTTTGTGTTTAACTCGCGATTGTGACGCCGTTTTTCAATATTTTTTCAAAATTCATACATTATTCGAAAAATAAATCATTCCTTGATTTCAAGGCAATGTAAAAAAAATATTGGATATACAGGGTGGACCGGATTTAATTTGCGTATAAAGAGATCTCGTAAACCGTAAGATATACATTATCGGTTAAATGGCGAAAAAGTTTCGTATTTTGACGAATCATACAATGGGCCATAGAAGTTTCAGATTTTCTGACTGTTTCCGGAGATATTCGATAAATTTCGTTTTTTAAGCCGTGCGTTGTTATTATAAAGGAAAATAAAAAAATATATAGGAAGTTTTTGTTATAAATCAAGTTCACTATAATCTGCCATGTAAAAATTTTTATTACGACGTTTTGTATTTGCAGGGCCACCTTCGACTTATTTTTTTAAATACGGACCTGGATTTTTAACTGTAATTTTTTATAGCTTTTGTATAGCTAAATACAACGATATGTTACACTTTACCATTTTACTACGTTTCATTTATGAAAATATCATTAGCTATGTAGTTTCTGATGATACCGTTTCTTACTTGATTAAAACAAGATAGCTAATTAAATAATAACTAAAAAAAAAAAAATGTGAAATTTAAAATAATATTTGAAACATAATACAAGAATTGTTTAATTACAAAATGGGTTACAATTTTTTATTAAACATGATTAAGTACAACCAGCAAACAAGACTAATGAAGAACGATTTATAGTTGTATACATTCTACAAATAAAAAGGAAAAGTGGACGATTACAAACAGTTTAAAAATTTTTAAATTAATAAAACCCCATCTTTCTCTTCCATCGTGTATTCGAAATAATTTTCTAAAATTTTTAAACTGTTTGCAATCGTCCCATTGTGTATTTTTTTAAAAAAATATTATATTTTGACTGCACCTGAAGATGGAAAAAAATTAATTTCCCAAACATATGCAGTGCTAAACAATGACCGATTAAACCAAGGAAATTTTAATTTATATACAATTCTACTACAGTCAGGAAATTATCCTGATTTAAACAAACTTAATTTAAGAAATGAATGTGACGTATTTAAAGTGTGTAGGTAGTTTTATTAATATTAATAAAACTCAGTAAAAGTAGTCTTAGCGCTTTCAGCCGATTAGGCCATCATCAGAGACTCTACAAAGATAAAAAAACGGAGCTATAACAATAGTCAAATCGAGATATTCCTAAACATTGAACAAGAAATAAAAAAACACAACAACTTACTTGTCAGTAAATATAGAAGGAACATGAAAATTAATTATTTAAAATTTATATATTAGATTCAAAGGGCTGCCACAATACGGTCCCTGGTTCTCAACCATAACTTGAGGCTTGAAACGAAGCAAAACCAATCCTAACAGGTGGTTGAAAATTGAAAAGAAACGTGGGGGCTCATCCCAACACGTGTAAATAAACTGTCTCAACCTTTCCACGGAAGAGAGAAGGAAAAAACTGAACTTCGGCTTGAAGTCAGCTGCCCTTTCAAAATAGCTACCGTGAGGCGGAGGCAAGTTGGGGCATAGGTAATCGTAAGAAGTAGAATGCAATAATAATGACGAAAAGGTAACCATCTTGACTTTAACAGTGCCAAAAAAGAACTGAGTGACAATTGACAGTTGACAATGAAGTTGTCAAAACAATTGCCAACTTGAGAAAAACAAATAAATTTCATGAAAATTGATCAAAGTTAATATTTAAAAGATAAAAGTGGGTTGGAACCACTGAAGTAGCAAGCACAAGTTATGGAGGGAATTTTAAATTTTAAATTATTTTTAAAAAATTAACCAAACGTTACAATAAATAAGTAGAATTATAAAATATACATTGAGTGAAGGTAAAAAATATTTTGATATAAAATTATTGAAATTAAGAAGGTGCCTGACTAGCACAACAGAATTGAGCCTGCCGACCCCAGGGAAACCGAAGTCGCAGGCAGACCAACTTTTCCAACTAAAAGAGGAGGAAAAACCGTCCTGACCACGAAATCAGATATCACCGGAGAAGACAAGATCAACTCTGCTGTAAGAAGATTCAAGGAGAAGCTAGCTAGGTAACTTCAGACCAACCGTTGCCAATACTCTTAAAGAGAGGAGGCACTTTGCTATTGAGATGGATTTGCGTGTTAACACAGGTG